ACAAAAAGAAATTTAAAAAAAGAAAAAGCATTGATGGCTGGGTGTGGTGGCTCACGCCTGTAATCCCAGCACTTTGGGAGGCCGAGGTAGGCAGATCACCTGAGGTCAGGAGTTCAAGACTAGCCTGGCCAACATGGTGAAACCGCATCTCTAACAAAACAAACAAACAAACAAAAAATAAATAATAAAAAACAAAACCAAAAGCATTGACTACAGATAATAATCTAGTTACCTAGTTCCATAGCTAACAAAATACTAGGGTGGCTCAAAGTTCTAAATTAAAACACTGTAAGGAATACCTGAAAGAGTATGTGCTTTGTAAGTATTAAATACTATCAATAATAATTATGTGATGATGTGCTGCTCAGTTTAAGTCTAATACATTTGTAAGAAAACAAATATATAGCTTAACTACCTAATAAAGAATATGATAAACAAATAGGATAACTGATGGGTCTAGGATAATAGGTAACTCCTTGAAGCATAATGGTATATGACTGAATAGCTTATATTAAAAGGTCATATTAAAGGAACATTTGGTTATGCTGTTGAACAAGGTGATTTAGTAACACTATTAAATTGTTACTAAGCTTTTGATGATGTGTTACCATTTTAATACTAATAAGCAATATAAAGGGAAGAAGTCCAATAAGAACTTTTTCTTGACTTTTATTTCAATTACAAGACTAATATAAGATTTATTAAGGGAGGAAGGATACTGGAGACACATCCTTCTAACTAAAAATGAAAATAAGTAATATCTGTATATGGCTAATATACACACATGGCAGAGTGGAAGAAACAGGGAAAGAGAAAAAAGAACACTGAGCTTTTTACATCATTCCACAACAGTACAATAATTCCACATGCTCATAAGTGAATTGTGTATGTGAACCACACAACAGTGGTATGTCACATACTAACTTCACTCAATGAAAGTGATTGTGTGTGTGCATGTAAAAATAGCATACAGCAATCAACTTTCCATGGAAAATCAAAAATCACCCTTAGCATTTAGCAACCTAGCTAAATGATAACAGCATCATTCTGATTGCATCATCAGGCTTGTCTTTAATCTTGTTAATTTTATTCTGGTTTGAAAAGCAGATACAGGGCCAGGCACAGTGGCTCATGACTATAATCCCAGCGTTTTGGGAGGCTGAGGCAGGTGGATCACTTGAGGTCAGGAGTCAGAGACTAACCTGACCAACATGGTTAAACCATCTCTACTAAATACACAAACTTGGCCAGGCATGGTGGTGGGTGCCTGTAATGGCAGCTACTTGAGAGGCTGAGGCAGGAGAATTGCTTGAACCCAGAAGGCAGAGGTTGCAGTAAGCCAAGATTGTGCCATTGCACTTCAGCCTGGGTGACAAAAAAGTGGCTCACGATTGTAATCATAGCATTCTCGGAGGCCAAGGCAGGTGGATCACGTGAGGTCAGGAGTTCAAATCCAGCCTGGCCAACATTGTGAAACCCCATCTCTAATAAAGATATTTTTAAAGTTAGTGGGGTGTGGTGGTGGGCATCTGTAATCCCAGCTACTCAGGAGGCTGAGGCAGGAGAACTGTTTGAACCAGGGAGGCAGAGGTTGCAGTGAACAGAGATCGTGCCATTGCACTCCAGCCTGGGCAACAAGTATGAAATTCCATCTCAAAAGAAAAAAAAGGGAGAAAGGGAGGAAGGGAAGGAGGGAGGGAGGGAGGGAGGGAAGGAAGGAAGGAAGGAAGGAAGGAAGGAAGGAAGGAAGGAGGGAAGGAAGGAAGGAAGGAGAAAAGCAGATACAGAAAATAAACCAGATTCCTAAACTTTTTTTTCTGTGTAAAAAAAAAATTTGTGGCTAGGCGTAGTGGTTCTCACCTGTAATCCCAGCACTTTGGGAGGCCAAGGCAGTCAGATGGCTTGAGCCCGGAGTTTGAAACAGCCTGTGTAACATGGTGAAACTCAGTCTCTACAAAAAATAGAAAAATTAGCTGGGCATGGTGGCACATGCCTGTGGTCCCAGCTACTCTAGAGGTTAAGGTGGGAGGATCACCTCCTGAGTCCAGGAGGTAAAGGCTGCAGTGAGCCAAGATCATACCACAGCACTCCAGCCTGGGTGACAGAGCAAGATTCTGTCTCCACAAAAAAGGGTGGATTATGTTTGCTATACAAATTAATAAGCAAAATACTTATAACAAAATAAGCAAAAAGTTTGTAAAAATAACATTCTAAATATTCAGAACCATTTTAGCATACTTCAATACTGGTAATCTTAAATATATTATTCTTTTGTATTAAGTGCTCTGGGGCATGATAAGCAAGAAAAATCTCAAAAGTGACATTCCATTAAAGCTAAGGAAAAAAATATTCCAGTGATAAACTGAAGGGGCATTTCTCCATGAGAGATAATATAGCTTCCATAAAAAAAATGGATAAAAATTGGTTTTTATACCACCACCAAGGTTGTGGTTAAAAGATTGGATTGCTGAATCACAACTATAAAACAGAAGAAAAGGCTAGGCACGGTGGCTCATGCCTGTAATCCCAGCACTTTGAGAGGCCGAGGTGGGCAGATCACTTGAGGTCAGGAGATCAGACTGGCGACCATGGTAAAACCCTGTCTCTACTAAAAATACCAAAAAATTAGCCAGGCCTGGTGGCACACGTCTGGAATCCCAGCTACCCCGGGAAGGCTGAGGAAAAAGAACTGCTTGAGTCTAGGAGATGGAGGTGGCAGTGAGTCAAGACTGCACCACTGTACTCAGTCTGGGTGACAGTGATACTCCATCCATCTCAGAGAGAGAGAAAAAAAAAAAACCACCAGAGGAAAGGAAGCATTCCTTCCTGAAAAGCTAAGAGGAAGTGACAACATGATGTTATCCCCCACTGGGCTGCTCATAAAAGGGGGAAAGAAAGGAATTTTTTAAGCCATAAATACTTCATAAACAATAAGAACAAATTTATACATTTTTAAAACTATATGCTACATGAAGACAAAACAAGTAAGCTGATTAGAATTCATCCAGCCTTACCCACCGAAGGATAACACCAGTAATTCAATCAGCATGAAGTAAAACTAAATGAACTCTGAAGAAGTACTGCACAAATAACTGCGTGTGGATGTGTGCACAGTACTTTAGGGGAAATTCAAAAGGGGAAAGAACAAAACAAAACAATCTCGATTTGGATTTTTAAAAATTTCATTAAAGAGGCAGGGTGTAGTGGCTCACACCTGTTAACCCAGCACTTTGGGAGGCCGAGGCAGGCAGATCACTAGGTCAAGAGTTCAAGACCAGCCTGGCTGGCGTGGTGAAACCCTGTCTCTCCTAAAAATACAAAACGTAGCTGGGCATGCTGGCATGTGCCTTCAATCTCAGCTACTCGGGAGGCTGAGGCGGGAGAATTGCTTGAACTGGGACTCAGGAGGCGGAGGCTGCAGTGAGCAGAGATCGTGCCGCTGCACTCCAGCCTGGGCTACAGAGCAAAACTCCAGCTCAAAAAGAAAAAAATTATTTAAAAGACTTTTATAAAAGACAATTTAAATCAGATGCAGGAGAGGAAAGTCTTACAAAGAATCTTTTAGCTCTTTACAACTCCCTTTTAAGCATAATAATACAATCTCAAATTGTCTTAAACTATAAAAAATGTAACACATGTTAAATATTCAGAGTATTGAATTATTTGAAGGAAAACTAGAGAAATTCCTAAATTAAAGCCAACAGCATCTGTACTATCAAGAACCAGAAACCGTAATAGGCAATATGCAACACTGCGTGGAGAATCTAATCCACAGCTAACAGGAAGAAATAAAGCTGCAAAGTCCTTCTCTGCCTGAATCAATTACCTACTACAGGTAGTAACAACTTTTAAAAAGACAGCTGTCATTTTTTTTTGAGACGGAGTTTCGCTCGTTACTCAGGCTGGAGTGCAATGGTGCGATCTCGGCTCACCGCAACCTCCGCCTCCTGGGTTCAAGCAATTCTCCTGCCTCAGCCTCCCAAGTAGCTGGGACTACAGGCATGTGCCACCATGCCCAGCTAATTTTTGTATTTTTAGTAGAGATGGGGTTTCACCACGTTGACCAGGATGGTCTCAATCTCTTGACCTCGTGATCCACCCGCCTCGGCGGATGCTGGGATTACAGGCGTGAGCCACTGCGCCCGGCTGACAGCTGCCATTTTTATGAAAAAACTGTCAGTTCCTTTCTTCATGAAGAACAATGCACACCACTACCCTGGGTATAACTTCAAAAGTGTAACTGGTAGCCACAGTTTTATAAAATAAAAGATAAAACTTTTATTACATAAAAGTTATTTTAAAAACCCAGAAGCTAAGTATCTTGAGACAACACCTGTGATTAGGGAATATCCATTCTACCCTTCCTTTAAGAATATTTAGCTGGACACATGCTCACATAGATTTTCAACATCTTAATGCTTGTGTGGGCATGTAACTAAGCTCTAGTCAATGACATGTGAAGAGAGGTTGAGGTATCCCTTCTGGGTCCAGGCTTCTAGGGAAGGTTCATTGCCTCCCCTTCCAGTTCTAGCTTAGTCAAGAGTCTAGAAATGGCAGAACACTACCACTCAAGGGATGCCTGGGTCCCCTACACTGCAGCAATTTCAAAACTGTCCAGAGATAAACAACCAGAGTCTGGTAAGCCAGAGAAAAATAAGCTATCTATTAAAAACTAATTTGGGATTTCTTTTACAACATCTGAACCAAATCCTAAGACACCACCTTTGAACAACAGTAAAACTGAGATTACAAACAAATAATATGACATGCTGAAAGTATAAAATTTTGGCAATACTGGATATGCATAAACTATGCACGTATAACAATAAAAAGAAACAATTTAAAAGATATACTCAGTCAAGGTGTAAGAGAATGGAGGAAGACAGAAACTAAAGGAGAAAATAAAATCTAAAACCAACTTTTTAGAATTATAAAAATATATACTGGGAGCCGCCGCCAGCGGAGGGCCGCGGGACCCCCAGGAGGCCGCGGCCACTCCCCCCCCCCCCCCCCCCCCCGGGCCGGCGCGGCAGGGGAGGCGGAGGATGGAAACACTCTTCTAAGGCATGAGGCGCTGAGCGGCCTGGGAGGCGGCGCCAGTGTCAGCGGCGGCAGCTTCGGGTCTCCGGGCCGCCTGTTCCCGGGGGCGCCCCCGACGGCGGCGGCCGGCAGCATGATGAAGAAGGACGCGCTGACGCTGAGCCTGAGCGAGCAGGTGGCGGCGGCACTCAAGCCCACGGCCGCGCAGCCTCCGACCCCCCTGCGCGCCGACGGCGCCCCCGGCACCCCCCGACGGCCTCGCCCGACCTGGGGCTGCTGAGGCTCGCCTTCCCGGAGCTCGAGCGTCTCATCATCCAGTCCAACGGGCTGGTCACCACCAAGCCGACGAGCACGCAGTTCCTCTACCCCAAGGTGGCGGCCAGCGAGGAGCAGGAGTTCGCCGAAGGCTTCGTCAAGGCCCTGGAGGATTTGCACAAGCAGAACCAGCTCTGCCGGGGCTCGGCGGCCGCCGCCGCCGCCCCCGGGCGCATTGGGGCCGCCGCGCCTGGCTGCGCTCAAGGACGAGCCACAGACGGTGCCCGACGTGCCGAGCTTCGGCGAGATCCCGCCGCTGTCGCCCATCGACATGGACACGCAGGAGCGCATCAAGGCGGAGCACAAGCGGCTGCGCAACCGCATCGCCGCCTCCAAGTGCCGCAAGCGCATGCTGGAGCGCATCTCGCGCCTGGAGGAGAAAGTGAAGACCCTCAAGAGCCAGAACACGGAGCTGGCGTCCACGGCGAGCCTGCTGCGAAAGCAGGTGGCGCAGCTCAAGCAGAAAGTCCTCAGCCATGTCAACAGCGGCTGCCAGCTGCTGCCCCAGCACCAGGTGTCCGTACTGAGTCCGCGCGCGGGGCGCATGCGCGGCCACCTTCCCCCAGGGGCGGGCTCGCGGGGGTGGGGTGTCATTGGCGTCCCGGACTTGGAGAGGGTGCGGCCCTGGGGACACCCCCCTTTCCCCGAGTGTACCCAGGAACTGAGAGAGAGTGCAGCCCCCCGGGATCCCCCCGAGGGTGCCCCGGACTCGGAAGGGGCGCCCCGGACTCGACAAGCTGGACCCCCCCTGCTCTCGGGGGGGGGGGGGCGAGCGCATGACCCCCCGCCCTCGCGCTGCCTCTGTCCTTCGCGCGGCCGCCCTGTGTTGCACAAACCCGCGCGTCTCGGCTGCCCCTTTGTACACGGCGCCGCGGAAGGGGCTCCGAGGGGGCGCAGCCTCAAACCCTGCCTTTCTTTTTCTTTAACTTCTTTTTTCCTTTGGAAGAGAGAACAGTGTTCGATTCTGCCCTATTTATGTTTCTACTCGGGAACAAACGTTGATTGTGTGTGTGTGTTTTCTTGTGTTGGGTTTTTTTTAAAGAAATGGGAAGAAGAAAAAAAATTCTCCGCCCCTTTCCTCGGTCTCGCTCCCCCTTCCCTTCTTTCGACCGGCTCCCCTCCTCCCTTTTTGTTCTGTTTGTTTTTTGTTTTGTTTTGCTACGAGTCCACATTCCTGTTTGTAATCCTTGGTTCGCCCGCCCGGTTTTCTGTTTTCAGTAAAGTCTCGTTACGCCAAAAAATAAATAAATAAATAAATAATAAATTAAAAATAAAAATATATACTAAGAGCTATATGAACTGATACAAAGTGACTTACAAGAAATATTCAATTTTAAAGGCGAAACAGTACAAAAGAACACAATAGATGCTTTTTATGTAAGAAAAAAAATTTTTTTAATTAAATTTTATTTTTTTTGAGACAGTGTCTCGCGTTGTCAACCCAGACTAGAGTGCAGGGGTGCGATCTCAGCTCACTGAAACCTCTGCTTCCCAGGTTCAAGTGATTCTCCTGCCTCAACCTCTCAAGTAGCTGGGACTACAGGTGTGTGCCACCACGTTTGGCTAATTTTTTCTACTTTCAGTAGAGAGATGGGGTTTCACCATGTTAGCCAGAATGGTCTCGATCTCCTGACTTTGTGATTTGCCCACCTCAGCCTCCCAAAGTGCTGGGACTACAGACATTAGCCACTGTGCCTGGCCACCCCCCCCCCTTTTTTTTTTTAGTCAGAGTTTCACTCGTTGCCCAGGCTGGAGTGCAATGGTGTTAATTTTGGCTCACTGCAACCTCTACCTCCCAGGTTCATGCGATTCTCCTGTCTCAGTCTCCTGAGTAAGCTGGGATTACAGGCATGTGCCACCACACCCAGCTAATTTTGAAGTTTAGTAGAGACAGGATTTCTCCTTGTTGGTCAGGCTGGTCTCGAACTCCCAACCTCAGGTGATCTGCCTACCTTAGCCTCCGAAAGTGCTTGGATTATAGGTTGAGCCACTACACCTAGCTGAAAAATTTTAAAGTCTGCTTATTTTTATATAAAATAGAAAAACAGGAAAAAAAAAAGCAGAAAACACTAAAATTGGTTCCCTACAAGGGTGGATGACAGACTGGAACTGCTCTCAGATGAAGACCTCATTAAACTTACCTTTTTATTTAGTTTTGTCTTTTATAATGTTGTACATATTTTTTTTAAAAAAAGTAAGAATGGAAAGGGAAAACACTACCTTTAAGTTTGCTAAAGCAAACCAGAACAAAGAAACCTACTCATATTTCACATGGACAGCAAATACTGTGAAGAGAAGACAGACAAACCACCCATCTCACTGACCAACCGCGAGGCAGGCAGGCAGAAATAATCCCAAGTAATTTGTGAACACATTTGACTTTATACCCTCAATCGTGGCAGGGTGGAGTAGGGCAGGTGCAGAACTGCCAAACAATTCCTAAAAATTTTTGTAGAGTTACTTATTGTAGTGGAATGGGCAAAGCAATTCTGTACCTATTTAGATATATTATTAAAGGTTGAGTAAATGTGTTGCTGTTGTTCACTGTGGAAAAGACAGAAGGCAAGAAAGAACCCTGGGTTCTTGCTGTGAAAAAGACAGAAGAAATCCTGCGAGGATGCATTGATACTGTAGATATCAGTGTGAATTCATGATTTCTAGATTTATGTGCATAGGCATGAATCCACATATACATGGAAAGGTATATTTATATGTGAATGTATGCGAATATACATGCATGTATGTAATATACATATACATGCCATGTTTCCTATGCCTGTTTGCTAAAAGGGCCAAGAAGCAAAGAGCACACCTAGGGCCCATTATCATAGTCTCCAATACCATTCTCCACTAAAGAGAGTGATCACTCCTCAGAGAATGGGCCTGATCCCAAGGCTACAGCTGAACAGGTAACAAGATAAATCTGTATTACACCAGGAAGAAAGAAGGTTTCATAGAATGATGGGGACATGGCAGAGGAATAAAACAGCCAGCTTGATGAGGCTCTAATAGCCAACTGAGGACCAATTGAGGCCCAAAAGAATTAAGTACAGCAAGCAGGCATGGGGGCTCATGCCTGTAAATCCCAGCAATTTGGGAGGCAGGCAGATCACCTGAGGTCAGGAGTTTGAGACCAGCCTGACCAACATGGAGAAACCCTGTCTCTACTAAAAGTACAAAATTAGCCAGGCATGGTGGCACAACACCTGTAATCCCAGCACTTTGGGAGGAAGGCAGGTGAATCACTTGAGATCATCAGGAGTTCAATACCAGCCTGGCCAACATGATAAAACTCCATCTCTACTAAAACTACAAAAATTAGCTCTAGAATATGGTGGCACCTGCCTATAGTCTCAGCTACTGAGGAAGCTGAGGCAGTAGAATCACTTGAACCCAAGAGGCCAAGATTGCACCACTGCACTCTAGCTGGGCAACAGAGCAAAACTCTGCATCCAAAAAAAAAAAAAAAAAAAAAAGAATAGTAATTTCGTTCCATATTAAAATCCTTCCAGAATAAAGTATTAAAGAAAAAAAAAAGCACAAGAATTGGATCGCAGAGAGAAAATAAATTACATTTTCCTAAGTGTTTTTGACTTAGGAAAGTCAAAAAAGGAAGATATATAAGGAAGATAAATGCTTCTGGTTTGGAACAAACACACTGAGGAAATGCTAAGAGTCCTCAAAATTCCAGTAGGAAAAACAATTCTGCCTTTTTAAGATACCCTTCTTATTCCTTTTTGTATCCCTAGCACAGTGAAAATCATGTAATAAACACTAAATAAAAACAATGATGGGAAAAGGCCAACTAAAACTAACTCCCTCTCTTCCATACCCAGGCCCAGCCAGAACCTTCTTAGCTTCAACAGCTCTTTGGATCACCGACCCAGGAGCTGTAAATGAATGGCGGCAGCTATTAACTTCCACACTTTTGCCAGTTTCTCTCACCACCAAGCCAACTGCTACAGTCTTTTTTCAGGCTTCGTATCAATTAAGATCTCAGGTTTCTAGTACTTGAGAATATAGTGGATCTCACAATACCACATGATGACTGGATCTCAAGATGGTCAGTGAGTCCCCAAACATAGAACAAAGGTAACACTGGGTAAAACTGTTCTGACAGATATATGCTATTTCATGAGAGTGGGTTCTAACTGCTAAAGGAAGATACTGTGTGAAAGAAACATTGTTTCTGGGTGAGATGTAGGAGCACTTGCCCTTTAAAGTCTTCAATTGTAACATTTTGCTAGTAAGTTGACAACCTATATAAACTCATTTTATAAAACAAAAAAAAAATGTTTATCAAACTATAAAGCTATACCCAACTTTAAAATGCAGGTTTATATAACACTCTAAAACAACTAAATATGTAACCATAATTTATATTGATAAATTTTAATTGCCCAGATGCCCACTATCCAGTGTCATATTGAAGGACAGATGGGAAGAAAAAATTAAGTCCAGAATGTTCCTTAAAGAGTTAGACAAAAGATAGTGCCAGAAGGGCATAGTTTTAAACCATAGGGGAATGATAAAAGTAAAGGTACAAGCTGGGCACCACGGCTAATGCCTGTAATCCCACCACTTGGGAAGCCAACACCAGCAGATGGCTAGAGCTCAGAGTCTGGGACTAGCCTGGGAAAAACGGTGAAATCTCATCTCTACAAAAAATTAGCTGGGTGCAGTGGCGTGCACCTGTAGTCCCAGCTACTTGAGACGCTGAAGCAGGAGAATCACTTGAGCCCAAGAAGTTGAGGCTACAGTGAGACATGATCGCACCACTGCACTCCAGCCTGGGCGAGAGGAGTGAAACCCAGTCTCAACAACAACAAAAAGAAAGAAAGTAAAGGTATAAATATTTGAGAATTGAAACTGAGACTGACGTTATGGTTAGTTTCATCAATGACCCAGCAGCAGTCTTCAAGGCAAAACAAGACGACCAACATCCCAGGTAAAACACCACCAATCCTGCAAGCGGAAAACCTATATATAGTCAGGCTAACTATACAGACAACGAATGCTTACAAGCAGGGAAGACAGGTAGCAGCTGAATAAAAAGGTAGAAATCCAACCATAAGCAAGGCAAGCAGAGGACACAATCTATCAGCACAAATATAACAGATACAAATAATGGCATGTAGGGAAACTGTAGCCAGAAATCAGAAACCAGATGACATTTCATGAATGAAAACACCAAGAATTGCTCCATGATAAAAACCTTACCTAGAAACAACAGGTACTTAAATCCAGGTATGTTTCAACCCAATCTATCAAATCCTACCTTTATTTTTCTCACCAGCAAATGACAACTTTTCCGAATCATCATTTCAACTATGTTCTTGCTAGAAGTTTTCTTCACCCTTCTCATCTTCTTTCTGGACTTGTATTCCTACAGTCAGCCCTCAAACTGGATATTAACAACTTCTCTATATTCCTGGGAGATGTTAAAGTAAATTCTCACAGACAAGTATGCTTAAGAGTTAATGCTTTCTAACACAAGGTAGAGGGTCAGGAAGAGGGAAGGGGGACCTCTTGGCCAGACTCTGTCAGCAGTACTAAAGTGAGGAAGATGGCCGGCGTAGTCAAGAAATTGGTTACATAAATGAGGATTGAGAAAATAAGAATACATGTGGAGGATAAGGGAAACCAGATTTCTCTTGGTGAGGAGAAGTAAAATATGGCAAATGACAAGTCTAGAATAAAACATAGTATTGGACTAGAATCAGAAATATTAGTGTGAACTCATTGTTCTAAACATACATAGAGGCCAGGTGGGTGGCTCAGGCCTATAATCCTAGCACTTTGGGAGGCTGAGGTGGGTTAATCACCTGAGGTAAGAAGTTCAAGATTAGCCTGGCCAACATGGCAAAACCCTGTCTCTACTAAAAATACAAAAAAGCCATGCATGGTGGCACATGCCTGTAATCCCAGCTACTTGGGAAGCTGAGGAAGGAGAATCACTTGAATCTGGGAAGTGGAGGTCGCAGTGAGCCGAGATTGCGCCACTCCACTCCAGCCTTCGCGATGGGAGCCAGACTCCATCTCAAACAAAAAAACAATTACATAGAATGATCATGAAATAGGCATGTGTCTGAATATGAAAGAGTATATGCATATTTTTACATGTTTCCTAGCAGTCTACTCAAAGAGGGCCTAGAAGTAATGACACTTCAGAAGAAATAACCATATCGAGTAGTTAACAACTCTGTCGCCAGGCTGGAGTGCAGTGGCGCAATCTTGGCTCACTGCAACCTCCGCCTCCCCGGGTTCAAGCAATTCTCCTGCCTCAACTTCCTGAGTAGCTGGGATTACA